GACTGGGTAATTTATACAAAAAATGTATTTCTTGCAGTTATTTTTTAAATTTTTATTTTATTTTTAATTGATATATAATAATTGTACACATTTATTATTTTTGTTGTGGTGAGAACATTCAGAATCCTCTCTTATATCTATTTTGAAATATACAATACATTATTGTTAACTATAGTTACTCTACTATGCAATAGAACACCAGAACTTATTCCTCCATCTAACTGTAACTTCATGCCTGCTGATCAACCGCTCCCTATCTCTCTTCCCCCTCCCCAGCCTCTGGTAATCATTTCCCTGCTCTCTACTTCTGTGAGATCAACTTTTTTAGATTCCACATATGAATGAGATCATGCAGTATTTATCTTTCTATGTCTGGCTTATTTTACTTAACATAATATCCTTCAGGGTCACCTATGTTGCTGAAAATGACAAGATTACATTTTTTCTTTTTTTTTAGAGACAGGGTCTTCCTCTCACTCTGTCGCTAAGGCTGGAGTGCTGTGGTACCATCCTAGCTCACCATAGCCTTGACATCCTGCGCTCAAGCAATCCTCCTGCCTCAGCCTCCCAAGTAGCTGGTATTATAGGTACATGCCACCACACCCAGCAAATTTTTAAATTTTTTGTAGAGGTGTGGTCTTGCTATATTGCCCAGGCTGGTATCAAACTCCTGGCCTCAAGCAATCCTCCTGCCTCAGCCTCCCAAGTAGCTGGGATTGTAGGCATGAACCACTATGCCCAGCCAGGATTCCATTCTTTTCTATGGCCAAATAGTATTCTATTGTGTATATGTACCATATTTTTGTTGTTCATTCATCCATCAACACTTAGGTTGATTCCATAACTTGCCTATTGTGATTAATGGTGCAATAAATATGGGAGTGCAGATATTTCTTTGACATACCGATTTCAGTTCCTTAGGATATATATCAAATATATAGTGGGATATATAGTGGGATTGCTGGATCTTCTTATAGTTTTGGAGTCTAGGAAGCCCAAAGTCTAGGGACTGCACATCTGATGAGGGCCTTTATATTGGTGGGGACTCTCCCCCCTTCACTCCCCACCAAACCATTCTGCCCTGCTAGGCCTGTGGGCTTCTGATGGGAGGGGCAGCTTTGAAAATCTCTTAAAATGACTTTGGGGGCTTTCTCTGTCCTGATGAAAAGTCTCTGGCGCTATTCTATCAGGAATAATCTCTTTACCAATATTTTCTCTGGGCTGCACCCAAACACACTTTTTTCATTCTTTCCATGGCCAGGCTATGAATTTTCCAAAATTTAATGTTCTGCTTCCCTTTTAACTATAAATTCTGTCTTTATCATCTCTTTCTCCAGATTCTCACTATAAGCATCCAAAAGTAACCATGCAGTATCTTGAATGCTTTGCTGCTTAGAAGTTTCTTCCACCAGGTACCCTAGTTCATCCCTCTCAAGTTCAGCTTTCCACAAAGCCCCAGGGCATGGACAGAATTTCACCAAGCTCTTTGCTACATTGTAATGAGTGTGGCCTTTATTTCAAGTTCCAATACCTTGTTCCTCATTTCCATCTGAGATCACATCAGCACAGCTTTACTGTCCAAATTTCTACCAGCATTCTGGTTATGCCTAATGAAGTAGTCTTTAAGAAGTTGCAGACTTTTCTTACAGCTCTTCTCTTCTCACCCCTCACCAGCATTGTCCTTCATACTCTATTTAGAGCAATCCAGGATTTTCTAGACTACTTCTTCAAATTCTTCCAGCATCTACCCATTAACCAGTTCCAAAGTTGCTTCCAGATTTTCAGTTATCTGTATAGCAACAACCCCACTTCTCCAGTATCGATTTTTTGTCTTAGCCCATTTGCTGTTGCTGTAACTAAATACCTGAGACTGGATAATTTATTTTTATAATGTATGTCTTAGAATTCTGAAGGCTGGGAAGTCCAAAGTCTAGGGGCTACATCTGGTGAGGATCTTTGTGCTGGTGATGACTCTTTGCAGAGTCCTGAGGCAGTACAGGGCTCAGATGGGGGGACAGAGTATGCCACACTGGCATTTATAAGAGACCCACTCTTGTGATAGCTAAAGCATCTCCTGATAACCCACTAATCCATTAACCCACTAATCCATAAATGGATTAATCCATCCATGAGGACAGAGCTCTCATGACCAAACCACCTACTTTAAAGGCCCTGTCTCTTCATGCTGTTATATGGGGGATTAAGTTTCAACACGAGTTTTGGAGGGGCAGAACATTCAAATCATAGCAGAATTGTTTTCCTAATTTCATTTTGGGATTGTTTATTACTGGCATTTAGCAACACCACTGATTTGTGTGTGTTGGTCTTGTACCCTACAACTTTGCAGCACTCATTTATTAGCCCTAGTAGGTTTTGTAAAAATGGATTCTTTGGGATTTTTCATATATAAGATTATGTCATCTATGAACAGATGTAGTTTTACTTCTTCCTTTTCTATTTGGAGACTTCTTTTTTTTTTTTTGAGCAATGTCTCGCTTTGTTGCCTAGGCTAGAGTGTAGTGCCGTGGGTCATCCTAGCTCACAGCACCTCAACTCCTGGGCTCAAGTGACTCCTCCTGCTCACTCCAAGTAGCTGGGACTACAGGCATGTGGCCACATGCCGGCTAATTTTTTCTATATATATTAGTGCATTAGTTTCTTTCTATTTATAGTAGAGACGGGGTCTCGCTTCTTGCTCAGCTGGTTTAACTCTGACCTAGAGCAATCCGCCCGCCTCGGCCTCCCAGAGAGCTAGGATTGGAGACTTCTTTTCTTGCCTATTTGCTCTGGTTAGAAACTCCAGGACAGTGTTGAGTAGCAATGGTGAAAGGGGGCATCCTTGCCTTGGTCCGGATAGGGGCCCTTAGTCCATTCAGGCTGCTATAACAAAATACCTTAAACTAGGTAATTTACAAAGAACATAATCTTAGTTCTTACACTTCTAGAGGCTGGGAGTGCAAGATCGAGGCACCAGCAGACTTGGTGTCTGGTGAGGGCTTGCTCTCTGG